TTTGTATTTATAGAAAGTATAAAAAGTACATATTTTATTCAAGTACTAAATGAAATGCACATTATTATATTTCAAGGATAAAATAAATCCATTATAAATCGACATTACAGTCTGTAAACATCTGGAAGAAGTTTCTCGTAGCACTATTTACTCTTGATTATTTGAACGTTTTGCAGTTAATGTGTTAACAGCACGTTCGATGATTTCTGTACAGTAAAATTGGCATGAGAGGATGATTTATGACTGACCGATGCCCTAACGTCGATTAATAAGACTGTTCTAATAGGACTATGACGTGCTCTGTTGCTATTCCTTTCGAAGAAACCGAACCATGTTTTAAATATTTTTTAATGAATCGCGTGGAGTACGTGATCTCAATCACGCTCGCATACCTGTAGACTCAATATTTTGAACGGTGAGTCAGCACTGAGAGACAATATTATTTCTGAAAGGACGGTTGAACATTGTCTGAAAGACTTATGGTTCAGGAAATGCGATCCCCCTGCGATTAGGAAATACTTCATTTCACTCGCGCGGCTTTAAATATTAGTTATTCCTCGGAGTTATCAGGTTTCCACGGAAACGAGAGTGAATCGCAAATTTCTCACGATCACGCGAGCAATTAATCACGGGAAATTTATGCAACTTCCACCTTTTTCTCTTCCCTCCAATGATTCTTTAATAAGATATAAATCAAAATCTATTTCCATAATTCAATCTAGACTATTACATCTTTTTCTTTGATTCTTTTTCCTTGCTTCTTATTATAGATTGAGATAGAAGAGCTAGGAACATTGTATGCAAGCGATTTTTAACAGGACTCGTATCAAATACATTTCATAGAATTATAAATACACGATAGTTTCCAAACGCCTGACGACTTTGCTGAGATACAATTAAACGACGATCTATCGATCATCGAGATACAATATTGCCAGCGATCATATCTTCATTCATGTCATAAATCATTAAATGTGCTTCAAGTTATCATTGACTAATAACT